AAGGGAGGGGGAGGGGGGCTGGAAACGAGGTTGCACTCATGCCACAGCGCAAATAAGAGCCCGCTACCAGGAATAGTATGGGATATGGAAATATTCCCACAGCAAAAATGTGTTTCCCATATTTTGAATAGCCTTAATGTGATGGTTTGAAATAAAATAATTATTTATATATCCTAAACTCGTCATTTGATCGTGCTATCATCGACCATTTCTTCACACTTCAATATATGTGCTGTACGCACCCATAGTTGAGGTATTACACGCGTAATAAAACACAGGGATCGATAAAAACCTGCAAAGTATGATACCGTAAAGAAATATTTTATTGACTCAACCAATTGATACAACCGTTTGAGTAGCTGTGTGCTTTTAGCAGCATGTACAATTGTCTGCACAGCGGGCCTGTAATATATTCAATTAAATTATCCGCGTTTAGCATTAAGGCATATACATCTTTATATCTTGTTAACCTAATTTTAAAGGATACAAATGAGTTTTTTACAATTTCCCTATAAACAAATGCTTGGCTTATGCATGCATCTATTGAACCATTTATTTGAGCAATTCTTTCGATGTAATGAGACGCTTGAGTTTAGAACTGAAATTTTTTTACTTTCTTTCTTGAATTCCCGCCCATATGTACTAAGTCTAAGCGTCTTTGAAAGGAAAAACGGAGTTATTTTCTGTTTAGCAGAGTTCTGTTTATTTAAGTGGTTATGGGGTTCAGGAAAAACTCCCTATATCACGCTTTGGCCCTTTTGAAATTTTAACGAATTCAAATCATCTTCCACTTTGAGGCCAGACAAAGACCATAACAAAGCTTATTCATCCTTGTGGACTCAGCATACCCATCGCGATAAAGGTCTGAAGGAATCTGTTTCCCCAGCCGTTTCCTACAATTCGTTTTCCTTAATTTATATTGGTATTTTGCTATTACCTCTACCGAGTCAAGTTTACCAAAATCAGTCTGGAAGAAGGATTGCATCACAGTTGTTCATCGTGGATACGAAATATCTCGTGATTCTCCCAATAATTTTCCTAACCTAACGTGATCTCTAATTAATTTTCTGCAGCTTTTCATTATCTATAGCCTTGTGTATTACTCTATGAGAGAGATTTAAACTTTCTTTTCATGATTCTAACAATACAACACTCATTTCCGTTAACATCTGGATACCCCTTATCGCTGAAGCCTTCCAATGCTGGACACACGTCCTGCCAACGGTCATTAAATTGCTGCAGTTCTCCTTTAACGGCTTTCTGTGACGGTCCGTCAAGAATTTCACATACGTCCTTTCCAAGCCGGTTGACTCGATCAACCTTGACTTGCATTGATGGCTTTTCCTCTAGTTTAATCTAGAACGAAGAAAAAGGGTGAATGTTGCACATTAAGAAAAAGAGAGGTCAAATATCTGCAGAAGTTTATTTTTGCGTTCTATTTGTGAAGATACCAATTTGCCAAAGATGAATCAGTTTGTCTCGAATTCGATGATTCTTTGAAGCTGCATCAGTGGAATAGTGTCAATAATATTTCTGCGCTGTTTGATGGGTCGAGGCGATCCTATTATGCTGACCAACATCGATGAAGTGATGAGTAAAACTCAGGTCAATAAACAAAAGATTGAGGCTTTAGTTCCACCAAAAGCGAAAATCTAATGGCTTAGCTAATGAAATGCCGCACAACGTACAAGTACCTGAGCTCTTTTCTTAAGGTTCTCTTGCTCGTCAGAAGGCAAATCTTCTTTGTATTCATTCATCAACGCTTTCCCGTCGTCCACCCACTGATTAACAGAATCCACCAGGTCATACATCTCTTTCATTTTGTTTTGGGTATTTACCAACTAGACGGAAGAGAAAATAAACATGCAAATTATTACAATGTGGGGGATAGGAGGGCACAAAGCCATCCCATTAATCGAGGCTTTTCATGTCCCTGACGAGTAATTTCCCGTTTTCCACCATTTCCAATCCTGTTCACTAACTTAATTCGTCTATCTTCGTTCCCTTCACAGATTTGCCTCGTTGATAGAGGCAGTAAAAGGTATAGGGATTTTAACCTACGATCTTTCTCTTTATTTATCGATTCCATAAGTTGCAGATAACATATTACTAACTCTCTCTGCTCTTGTGATCGTAAGCTGCAAAAAATTCTTCTGACTCTAAATTAATCTGAAATAGCAGTAGAGATATTGGGCGACTCTGCCACAGAACTTCAATCACTGTGTTAATGCAATCGACTTTCATGGCTAAGCAAAGTACAACAGGGTTCCACAAAATGTTGCTCAACACTTTAGATGCAAGATTGTTTTTAGAAACCAGTAAAATATCTATGTTTACACACCTTTTCCTTTTCATCAATGACTCTCTTGGCAACATGATTCCAGCAGTCGTCAAAGTCTTGTAATTGTGCTTCAATTTCCTTTGTTGTCTCTTCGTCGCTACCCGAATCCTCAATAAGGTCTTTCCCCAATTGACGGAGCCTTTGCAGTCTTTCCTCCTGTTCTTCAAGCTCCTTCTGAGTTGTCTGTTGGTATATTTACAAACTTGATAAAACTGGATCAATCGATCATTATACGTGTGGCCGAATTTTTTATCTTTTAAGGAATGACTTTCAAAATTATTTCAAAGAATGCAGGTGATTAATACAAAATGGCGTGGAGAAGGAATATCCTCTGAATGAGAATTATATCTCTCGAAACCGAAGGAAAGTCAAACATCTTGCACTACCACTGAATTATTCTAACTAGGTGTAATACTTACCTCAAGAAGTTCAAGGCTTTCCTTGACCTGTTGTTCGTCAGCAACATCAGTATTCGACACCTCTTTGAGAGTTTTCTCTTTCTGGCTGAGCCAGTTTAGAAGAATAAGTTCTTCATCTCGAAATTTCTGCCAGTCGATCATTGCTTTGGTTAGTTTCTGGTTTCGATCCTCACTCCAATTCCAGGCCGTTGCCCACCTTTCGTTCACAGTTTTGATTTGTTCGCGAGTTTTACCATCCAAATCTGGGTCTGTTGAATCAATCCTCATTACCGAAGCCACTAAAGACATGTCACCAACTCCTTCTTGAAATTTCTGAGGTAAAAAAAAAAAACCGCATGCTCAACATATTGCTATCAATAAACTTACGAGTTTTTACCAATGAGCTTTTTCTTTGTCTATCGATACTTTTCTTTTCCCGTGTTAAACATTGAAAGTACGCATATGCTCTTTGCCAGTTCGCATGGGGCATGAATACCTCGATGTAACATGAAAACATTGATTTGACAATTACCTGATGTTCCTCCAACTGCTCCTTAACAGTTTCGTAGGTAGGGCCAATGTCATCTTCTTTGTCCATCTTTTGCTCGGCCTTTTTCAACCATATGGTCATTTTGTTTAACTGCTGTTTCAAAAGTACGGATCTCTCCTGTGAAAGCCTAAGCGGGAAAAAAACAAAACCAAAAAAACAACTACGTTAATAACTTAGCTTGTTTGATTCACATCTAACGTATTCAAGGTGGTAGTACTTAATCGTTTTCGAGAGTAAATGTCAACTCTGCTCTTCGATCAATTTTAATGAGCAGTAAAACATAGCACGGGGTCATTCACTGTTACAATAATCATATCCCTGAACAACTCACTTGTCCTGATCCCTCTGGGATTGCTCAAGAAGATTTTGCAACCTTTTATCGACGTTATCCATCCGGTCTTGGAAGTGCTCCTTTTCACCTAAATCAAAGTATCCTTCCCCTATCAACGATCGTCCTTCATTCAAAACTTCATAAGTACGAGACTTTACTGGCTCAAGGTCCTGGCGAAATTTCTGTTTAGAATTAAAAAAAATTTAAATGAAAAAGTAGTTCTCTTCTGTCTAATGAGTTATCTTACTGTTGACGAAAGGCACTTTTGACATTTCCAGCCCTGGCAAAAAGGCGTCAATTACGTCACTGCTCAAACTCAGATAGCCCATTAACAATGATTGAAGTGATGAAAATTATGATTTTTAAGTAAAAATAGGTAGGTCATCGCTCAATCTTTACGAGGGATGAATATTGATACATAGTCAGCACGTCATGCATTACAGTAACGAATTTCCAACCTGTTGTTCCTCTAGCTGTTTGGTTACTTCTCCCAAATCAACTGAATCATTATCATCGTAAACTGGTTTATTGTGTTCCGCGTCAGACAATCCGCTTTCCACTTCATTCAATTTCTTGCTAAGATCAGCAACTGCCTTATCGTGTTCTGATTGACTGACAAAAAGAAACTTAGTTGTTAATGGAAAACATCATTTCGTGAGATGACATTTTGTGGTGAATACATGTATTTATGGATGTTTCAGTGGCACAGACATGTTAGTAACTTCAGTTAATCAAGGTCATTTCTTTTCATATAGACCAACAATGTCTTTTGCTGGTGGACAGTACCGAAAAGGGGGCCACGTAGTTTCTTTTTATTTTGCTGCTTCTAAACCTATCTTCAGTTGGGTATCTCAACTATATCGAAACTGCGCGTATCTATTTCCAGATTCGGTCGACCAGTTTTCGATCGTCAGTTCATCTTACGTCACTTAATCATAAGATGCATTCCTAACCATACCTGATGGCTGCTTTGCTATCCAAATTATCAAAGCCATCGTTCAGGGCTCCCTCCACAGCATCTGCTTTCTCGATAAAGCAAGAATTCTCCGCAATTACCGAAGCCTTCTGCAAAAGTGAGATATCAAACGGCCAATTTAACCCTGAGACTTAATTATTACATTGCCGAAACTTGCTCAATCAATGCCAACTTTTCTACAGTTTTGGAAGAGATGTGAATATGAAAACTATAATTGCCATGTTCTCGAAAATAAAACTCGATCATACAATGATTTTTTTTCTTACCCTTTCTTTGGCTTTGTTTCCCTCAAGGTAGTTGTACATCTCAGTTAAATACATGATAATAAGCTTCTTGTCCGGCTTTTCAACGTCGATGTCTGTAAATTTTGACAAATATTAGAGATTATGCTTACATGTAAGAGACCACTGTTTGTAATTTTGTTAGTTTTAAGTTATGGCATCGGTTCAATTGACGAACTTACTTAACATATTCCTATTTTGATTCAACCCATCGCATGATTCAACCCTCACATGAGGTCTGTAGCCTTTTCATACAACAATACTCTTAAGTCAGTTATGAGTAAACCAATTAACGCCTTTTTGAATGTCGTAACTATAAATCTCAACGTTCAAAACAAATTTTTTGGCTAAAAAAAATTCTCAACTTTCGTCCACTACGCTCAAGCAACAATGACAATGATGAGATGTTGCATTTTTTGGAAAATTAATTTCATCGCATGTGTCATATGAACAATAGAACTTCAACCGTTTCTCCTTTTTAAGATTCGAACCCTCTAGAGTTGGACCAGGCCCTCTGTTTAAATTATGCAGTAAGATGATACATATCCCCATGCGGATTTCAAATCGAAAACTTCGCAGACAACAAGACGATACCATTAGGTAAAGCTCATACGAGGCTTTCAGCAAATATTACAAACCTGTCGAGTCTAAGTAGCGCGGAACGCCGAAGTGCTTTTCTGCCATCTTAAAAGAGTTGTCCAGTCTGGCTCGAGTCGATGACTGCGCAATGGCATTGAAGTCAAACAGTCCAGGTCTGAGAGAAAAGAAAAGATCGTTGTTTTCGAACAGAAAGTAACACTATTTGTTTCTTGTACGTGCGTTTATTAAGTTATTACAATTTTTCCGTACCCGTAGGAATGAATAAGAGCGTTGAATGCCAGACCATCTCTCCAGCTTGAAGAAAAATCAGATATTGTGACGTGGTCTTCATACCTAGATTCGAAAAGATTGTTTAATTAAAAGAAAAGGTTTCAAAACCTCCAAGATTATTTAAAATACACAAAGGAATCGTTTAATTGCATCCCACTCACCCTTTCAAGCGTTCTTTGCACCAATCAAGAAGCTTCTTTTCGACATTGAACGATTTCGCCGTCTCCTCTGTTACTGTTTCCTGCATAATCTCTTGGACCTACCAAGTCAAAAATTAGAGCTTTTTTTTCTTTTTGTTTCTTTGAGAATACCTAGTGCATCACTGACCTTAGAGAACTGATCAGTTATTAACTACCTGACAATTTTCCCGAGCTGTAAAATTGTGCTGGACTTCCTTGGGCACAGTGGAGAATGAACGCCTCTTAGAGTATTGATTAATATATCGAGGATCAACTAGCTTCTTGCCTTTATCATTAGCGTTTAGACCAAAGGTTAACTTCACTGATTCATCATGATTATGCAAGTAGTTGTAATGACCCTAACTGACTTAGAAGAAACGCATAGACGTAAAGCGCATTAGCTCTTGCGACATACATAAACAATGGTTCATGGAACCTGCTCTTACATTCAGTTTACTAGGTGTATTTGGTAACATTGGCTTGCAAACGATCATGAAGTTCTTACCTGGAATCTGAGAATGACACTCCACATGAGGCCAAGAATTACACGAGGTTTTCCATCCACAATGTCAAAAGCATTGATACCCACCAGTTTAACCTTAAGAAACACAGTGAAGTTAGTTATTTAATATGTATATTTTACAGAGACATGCAAAGAGTAAAACTAATGTATGAGTGTACTTGTTTAAAGACAGAACTGTTTGCTCCATACTCCTCCTAAACCCTTAAGCTTCCTAAGTAAGGGTATGGTTGCTTGCCACCTTAAACTCCCTCGGTTATTTCGGACCATGATGATTAGCGTTTTTCCCTCACTTTGTCAGCCCAAATTCGAAAGGTTTAAGACTGCACTACCGTTAGCTGCGCATACACTCCTGCAAGTTCCCATCGGCTCAACTAAGAACACATCCCCTGGCTATTTCTTTACCTTCAATGGAAACTTTAGTCTACCTAACACTCATTCATGAAAAATAAAATGGCTTATTGACTGTCAGATTAAAAATAAAGAAAAAAGGAAAACTCAGCGGCGTGTTGGTAATGCATCAGTTGTCCTTCCCAGCAACCAGCAGCCGTAGCAGTACATCGTGTTACAAATACGTTCACGGATCACAGACCAGAACTACATTGAAAAGGAGCACAAGTATAAACAAAAAGACTGTGCGGTCTTGTTACCTTTTGCTTCTCAAGCAATTTCATAGCTTGTTCAACATTGTTCAACTTATGAACACGCAAGTTTCCTTTTTCTTTTTTCTGAATAAGCAAGATAGAAAGAGATGCATTTATTAAGGCCTGTTCACAGATACTGGATCCGTCTGTAATTAATATCTTCGGATATTGTAAAGCGCTATTGATCTGTTATTGTAAATATAAGAAATAAATTATTATTATTATCATTATTATTATTATTATTATTATTATTATAAAAACTGACCAGTCACGAGTGAGTTACACAGTCTCACAGCTAATATGTTGACGGTAAAACAGACCGACAGGTTTTCACGAACCGGACTTATGACACCCCACTGACATCAACTTTTCACCTGACTCTGATTTTGGTATTTGGTCAGAATGTCAAAAAGTCAGTCACCACTACCGACAACAGACCCCCTCAGGAATACCCTCAACCGGACGATCAGACTCAGTACACGATCAAATCATCTTTGAAAGACGTCTTAGTCCTTCTATAAATCCTCTGATACAAAAACAAATAATTATTGAGAACTTGTCAATCGCATAACAATATGGGTTTACTATTTGACGAATTGAGCGGTAAATTTAAACGGGATAGATCCTCAAAACAGAGAACAATCACTTGCATTTACCAATTTTGTGTTACAAAGGACTTCCATCATATTCAGCAACATCTTCCCGTCCATAAAATCTACTACAACATCTTTTATTTCCATGGGAGGATCGTGCTGTGGGAAAAAAAGCGTAAAAGCATGATTACTAGCCCAGTGCAATATGATCAATCATGCCGCCGTCAGCTACATTTGTTTGAGAAGGGCCTTGGAGGCACCCTATGATTGAATTGATCACGGCTTACTACAATTTAAAATTGTTTGAAACAATCCGCATCGCCTCCTAGTCTAGTGAGACCCCGAGCTTAAAGCCGAACCTCCTTCGACATTGCATTTTCTCGCGCTTGAGATCGTTTCGGCAATTTCAACACAAATTTGCCGCTATACCCTTAAGATGATTTATTCAAAATGCTCAAACAAATTAAAATGTTAACATATTGTAAGAAAAAGTACGATAGAGTTTGCCTTACCTGAGCGAGTCTTGCGTTTACCCATTTTGTGAACGTTTTTCTGTGTAGGGCTTCTCTCTCACCTTTGGTAAAAGAAATTATTCGAGATATTAAAAAAAAAACACTGATTTTTAATTCTAAAATGGTTTCTAAGATAATAGTTTGTTTCAGTTTTCTGTTTCGTTGTTCGCTTTGTTTTTGTTCCTGACAGTTAGTTGATTTCTTTTAATTTAATTCTGGCAATTCGCTAATCACATATCTTACAGTGTGCTTTTTTTGAAATGATTGAATGCCAAATTCCATTACTTTTCTAGCCTCTTGGTCTGTAGAAGACTTAAAAGAGTCTGTGTTTCTTTAAGATAGTGAAGGATGTCTTGGCATTGTAGAGTAGCCTTGCTATTCACAAAAGATCTCGAGTTTAGCATTCTATTCTCCACCACATATCATGGAGATTTTTTAAAAACTCCGATTATTCTGCAAATTCCCTGTTCTCATATCTTTTAGATCTTTACTTTTTTATATCTGCGTTTAAAAAATAAAGAAGCCTTGGAGCAGCTTATCATAATAAGATATTAGTAAGAAAACAACGCGAAAGTTTGATGTTCTTCTATTTATTTCCTACTTCGGTAAATAAACATGAAAAATGGCTTCTTTTTTTCGGATAGAAAATTTTCTAGCAGGACGTGATTATTTCCATAATTAATTGGACTTTGGAAGACAGTGAAATGAATACAAATTGTTTTTATAGCCAGTCGTGTAACTCTCGAAACTACTTTCTCCATTACGGGAACATATAGCCACTCCACAACGATATTGTTTGGGTTTAAACAGCTGTTGATGAACCTTCTTGATTTTCAATATCGCTCTCTAATTATAACCGATTTTTTTTTTTTTTTTTTTTTTTTTTCATGTGCATTTTAGGTTAACATTAAAATTCTTTAAGTAGTTCAATTTGTCATATGATGATAGAATAGTGGAATGAAACCAGAGTTAAGTGGTCTCAAGGGCCTTTTGTTATTATGATTATTCCATTTAGGGAAAACAAGGAATATTTACAATTCTGGAATGATGTAACGTCAAATTTGTTGTGATAAATTTCCATTATTCTCCAGTACTTTTGATGTTAATATTTTCGTCGGCGACGATTTTAGACCGACTCATATTGGAATGTTTTTCAATTAAGAGCAAACATAGAGCTTAGTTAACAGTTTTAAAAAGTTTGCACGATCGTTTTCTTTCCTGTCAACAGACTGTATAGAAATTTCACTGAAGCAAACCCCTTATATTAATTCCATTTGCCGCAGGAAATGTCTTTCGACTGATTTGCTTTCCCTCTCAACCCTTGATTAAGTAAAATGCAAATATCAAGATTGAAATTAATAGTCGTCTCACTTCATTACACAGGCTAGTATATTTTTAATATTCGCATGTATTGATGAAGTGGTCCATATTTATCGTGATTAAAATCAACATGTACGGCCATAAAGAATACCGTTCCAAGAAAAAGTGAAGCTTTGATTTACCCGCTTCTTCAAGGGATAGCGTTCTACGCATGATGAGTAAAAATTTATTTACCTGAGAGGGCTCGTTTATCACTTGAAAATAACTACACGCCGCATTCCATGCATATCTTACAGATTCGATGGTCAATCGCTGACAAAATGTGGGATAATTATTGCTCTGTGAACAATTCAGTCAACTGTCTTGCTAGTAAACACTTCGGTTGAAATATGAAAACATGTTCAATACTCGGTTTAAGGGATGTAGCAGAATTATCTAAACTTGAGGTTGAGTATGGTAAAGAACGCAATAGCGTCAATTTCCTAAAGTGCAATATAGATCTTGTTATTTTTCCCTTTTGAACTTCATAAAGTTACTAGTCCTCGATTGTGAAATGTTGTTTAACTTTTAACAACTTAGTAAGAGCTCTCTTGGTAAAATTTGTTGACATGAAAACAACGAGCCTGTGAACTGAAAGTTGTGATATGATAATGGAATGATAAGGTACGCACTGCAATGTGTAGATAATTGTTTACAACTTATAGAAGAATGGTAAGTTTTAATCTATTTCACCCAGATTAATAACATCCGATCGTCAGTCTCTAAATGCGAGTGTTGGAAGCAGTTAGCAAACTTTTCTGGAAGAGCTTTGGAACTTCAACGAAAGAGCGAAAATTGCGCTTATTGCGCCAGGGGGCGAAAACTTGCGCTAATTGAATGAATCACAGAAAATAAAATTGTACAAACATTTTCCGAGAGCGAGTGCAGAGGTAAAGTACAAGAAACGGATGAAAAGGCTTCTAGGCTGTCCCTACCTGATCGGTCCGAGATCATTCTTTTGAGTTTCATGGAGTTTTGGCGAGCGACTTCTGCTTCTTGGCCGTTCATGTTTAAACGCGAGTTCAGCTCTCCAAGATTTGTGCACGAATAGTGTTGCTCAATTTAGTGTTGGTATGCAAATTTATATTCAGCCATCCAGCCGCCTGTTTGTCTTTGATGACCCCAAGCCCAAAGGGTCAACCTAATTTTAATATGAATAGTTGCACTTGAAGATCTGTTTGGTGTCTTTTCGTAAATTTAAGAACGACTTTGTTTTCTAACAGCTCTAACGGTGCGTTACAAAGCGTGTTATAAAGATTAGCACCTTGCAACAAACAAATAATCCTTTTTTGAGAAAATTAAATATTCACATCAAAATATCACGGAAAAGGAAAAATTATGTCAGGTACTGACAGCGCAATTGAGTGGTTGCTTAGGCCCGATTCCAGTCGACGTGATTGTAGTTGTCGGGTATTTTGTGCATGACCTCACGTTTTCAGACTTGTAACGACCCAATTCTGCTTTAATTGCACATTTTGAACAAAGAGCAATGAGGAGAGATACGAACATATTAGAGGTGCATTATCTATTTTTGATTAGAAAATAAAAACGCCGAGTGTATAAATGAATGCACAACATTAGCGTCTTTGCTATCCGTTACTAGCTTGAGTTCATTCAATAGTAAAAACTCTGAAACAGAAAAACTATTTTTGCAGTTTCTTTTCCTTTTTACCAAAGACCGTACAATAAGCTCTTTGTGTGTTTACTAGCCTTGTACTTAACACAGGTTTAAGTTTCTCCAACTTTAATTTGTTTCGTTCCAGAAAAAAAGGCCACATAGCGAAGCAACACTATTTTGCGAAATAAATTGAGGATTTCTTTTGAAAATAAACAAACATGCTAAAAGTGTATTTAGCTGTAGCCCGAGTTCTCAGGGCTTCAAGTTAAAAGCAATGAGACCATTCCTCACGCGCAGGAATTTCGGACTTTTTTGAAGTACTTACGTTTTTATTAATTATGAATCACGAGAGCTTGGCTGACAAATGCTCTGAAAAAAAACTGCAAACTATTTTATATTATTTGTATATGTTTTGGCCTTTTGATAGTTAAGAAAACAGTTTACAGCTGAAATTAGGAGACAGCAAGTTGACCTTAAGTGGGTCTATATTTGCATTGGTCTGATGTGTTCGGTCTCTTCATCTGCCCGTGGTATGGGTACATTGTGCTGAATGGCTCCAGTATTCCTGATTTAGGATGCACCATTTCAAGGCTTCCCCATTTGTATCTTAATACTATAGTTATTTCATTTTTAGCGCGAACTTGGCCATATCACCTGGCTAATTCCCCAGCAAAATTAATTAATTATCATAAACATATAAATCAGTATTTTTTTGCATAAACGATCGCGTATGATGAACCAGTCGTGCTCTAATTCTCATCTTAGTGCTACTTCTTCCTTATACGCTCATAAAAACCCAGAAAATAACAATGTTTTCACCTCTTCTAGTCAACGCTAACGTCGAAGTAGACAAACTAAAATATTAGAACGGATCCATAATGAGTAAATTGAATCTGTTTCATGAATATCATATGTATATGTGTTTTGCTGGATCACCACCAACAAGTTACGATTTTTTTCTTATTATCGATAGCTTTCGACATCATGTTTAATAAATCATCTCAGTGAACACAATGTTACAACGAAATGCTTAAATCATCGAGTCTTGTATTTGCTACTATAGTTTCACCTGTAGCCAGTTGTTATAACTGAAATTTTGTTTGTGTTTTGGCGTCTCTGCGAATGAAAGTCACTTTTAAGCCGCTTTCCCACTTACCAGCTAACTGAGTGAACTTCCTTGTATAATGTGCATTGCGTTGAACAGTCGTTGCTGCTGTTTGAAATTTTCTTAAAGATGGCGTGCGAGCTGTGTTTTTGGATGCCATCTTTATCGATTCCTGGAGAAACACCTAGTTCACTGTCAAATAAATTTATGTAAAAAACTTGATTCTAGAAAGATTATCTCTCATGATAATGTCATATTTGGGCCATCAAATGGTTCTCTAGAAACGGTAATACTGCACTGAGTTGAAACAATCATTTTTCTTTGAAAGGCTTGAACATTGCCAAAAAACTAACTAATTGCTTGATATCTTCTCCAGTAATAATTGATACCTTCAGAATTGAAATCTTATGGAAAAAAAATTTAAAAAGCTCATTACAATTTTTAATAAAGAAGGCGGCTGAACATAACTGTTACGGTTGCTACAAAAATAACATATTGGAAATATTCAGCATTTCCCTGGAATCGGGAGCTACGAATATTTGTAAACTGAGACGATAAAATAAACATCACATGAAACGTCAGTAAGTTGATTTATGGTTGGAAACAACTTGTTACTGTTAATTCAACATCGAAGTGTCCACTTCATAGCGATTTCTTAGATGATCGCCAAATAAAATATAATTCAGATTTTTTTTCATCTTCAACATACCATGTACAGGATAACTTTGATTTCGAAAAAATTTTTTGTTTGTTTCATTTTCAGTTAAAAGGGCTTACTGGATAGTCAGTCACTGCCAATGGACCCTGATTTGAAGGAAAGCTTCAACAGGTTGAGGAAACATGTCAGTCACTAAAAACGAAAAGTCAGTTGGGCTTCGTATGCTGGTTAGTACCTTAAAAAATGCCTCATTGGGATAACTCTTTTTTAATAATGAAGACACTTTTATTTTATTTTCATAACGATGAAAGTCCTTTCAACCGAAGTTTCAGACTCACAGGAAAATTTTCGGTAAATAGGTTCCTGAACGAGAGTTGTGATATCTGACATTTAAACTATTCAAGAGATTCTTATAGATTGGATTATTAGAAAAATCCGCCTGTGTTTCCAAGAATGTTAAATGAGCTCGGATATTGAATTGAAGGACTTGACATGGATTGGTGAGAAAAACGTAGATGAAAAGCTATGGACATTTGAGAAAATTACTAAAAAAATACCCCAAAGAAATACACCAATTCACCTCACCTTTTACTGACTCATATACAAAAAATAAATCAGTTGCAATGTTTTTTCACTTTAGTCGGATGAACTCCAGAGTTCCATGCAGATCAGTTCAGAGATTGTTTTTCAACATGAATATTTTATACTCATGTTGCTGGTACAATTGTCATCAAATAAATTCTTGCATTAAAACTGACCAAAACACTCAGCTTTTTATTAACCTCTTGAACAACAGGCAATGAAATGTAAATCCTATCGACGCTGTCTTGTTGGTGGGTTTGGTAATCTTTGCTGTTTATCTGCTCTTTTGTTTGTTTGTTTGTTTGTTTGTTTGTTTTTCAGTGCATGTTTTCAGATCCTTTGTTACAGTCCTGAATGCACCTATTTTGAAAGCAGTTACCGGTATCTGACCCGCCGAACAGTTCACCTATAAAAATCACCATATTCGGCCAAAACTAAAGAAACTTGAAGACGTGTCATATAATTTTTTAAAGTCGGTTCGTAAGCAATATAATATGCAACGACTTAGTGCAAACTGCAGCAGACCTAACTCTATACCAGAAATAGAGATGTTTTGTTTTTGTTGTTTTTTTTTTGTAATATACTGACTACAGAAAAAGAGCATGAAATGATTTCTATTCTGATGTTTTTTTGTGAGCCCACGAAGAAGAAATCCTAAATAATTCAAAATCAGCAGGAACTGCACAATGCTTAAGTCTAGGCTACAATCATGAGGTAGTTTGACACACGTTTAAGCTGAGGGACGCTCTCTATCCGCGAGCGACAAGTCCCAGTTCAAATTATTATTTAACGATATATATTGTACAACGATGTACTTACTTCGTGCCTTGACTATTACTGATGTGTGTCGAGCTCCAACTTTAATATTGTTAGCAGCTCGCTGAAACAATTAAAGTTTAGGTCTCGCACCACCAGGTGCTTTTTTAGCTTCCATGTTCACATCGAATGTCACCCCGTTTTTTTATTTATTATTTCYAAAAAYGMT